AAAAGCAAAGAAAGAGTGCGACCATCAGCATCCCCTGTTTCCCTGCCTGAGCCGTCCATATCCTCAGAGCCCAGCCAGCAGAGATCCACACCTGAACTCCATGCCAAGTCCAATGAGACAACGAAAAGCAAAGAAAGAGTGCGACCATCAGCATCCCCTGTTTCCCTGCCTGAGCCGTCCATATCCTCGGAGCCCAGCCAGCAGAGCTCCACACCTGAACTCCATGCCAAGTCCGATGAGACAACGAAAAGCAAAGAAAGAGTACGACCATCAGCATCCCCTGTTTCCCTGCCTGAGCCGTCCATATCCTCGGAGCCCAGCCAGCAGAGATTCACACCTGAACTCCATGCCAAGTCCGATGAGACAACGAAAAGCAAAGAAAGAGTGCGACCATCAGCATCCCCTGTTTCCATGGCCGAGTCGTCCATATCCTTGGAGCCCAGCCAGCAGAGGTCCTCACATGAACCCCATGCCAAGTCTGATGAGACAATGAAAAGCAAAGAAAGAGTACGACCATCAGCATCCCCTGTTTCCCTGGAGGAGGAGTCCATATCCTCAGAACCCAGCCAAGAGATTTCCTCAACAGTACCCAATTACAAAACAATGGCACCAACCTCCAAGGGCCTTAGAGGAAGGATTCACAGCATACCCACAACCCCTGCTCCTTTTCCACGTCCAAAAAGAGCAGAAAGCAAGGTATTCTTCCATTTAAACATTAATGAAACATTATGCAAACTATCTTAAAGAATGATTTAGAACTAAAGAATTGAAATTTTCTTTTATATTTCTGCATAGTGTTTATTTTTGCTAGATAGGAGTGACTTGTCTGTTTTCTCTCACACATATTCATGAAATTTGAATTTAGTAATTTATATTTCCATATTTTGATTACAGATAACATGTGGAACGTGTAAAAAGGTCGGAAGAGGAGGAATGAACTGGGTGTGCTGTGATGGGTGTGATGCCTGGCACCACCAGAAATGCACAATGCCGTTACACAAATTCAGGGCCCTTGGAGATAAGGAGTGGTTTTGTCCCCCTTGCAGGAACAGCTCTTGATGGACTGTTGTGTGTTACAATGTACTATGTTTTAATAATTTATTATTTATACAATAAAATTGTTTTTAATCAGATTTAGAAGTTGCTAGTATTGTATTAGGAAAACAATGATCTTCAAAGTATGGACAGAAATTCATTAATTATAGATAAAAATTTGGAACAAAACCATTCAAAAAGAATTTAAATTTGGTTTACAATATGATTCAGCATTGCTGGTATATTAAATAATCACCATACGCTAAAAATTATGATGTAATAATGCAATTCATTCATTTTGGTTTTCATGAAATGGAAAAGAAACCCTCAAAATATAGTTGTAACCCGTGTAACCACAGAGAAGAAGACCCCCTGCTAGACTTCTTTTGCTTTGTAACCATTGTCACCAAAGAAATATACTTGTAACCCATGTAACCACAGAAAACTGTAAAAATTAGTGATATATCAACCTGATAAAAGACCATTGATGTTTATTACTGAATGCAAAACATTGTAATTAGTTGCTTAAATACACAGTTGCCATCTTCTAATGCTGCTTTGGTCATTAAAAGATACAGTTATAATGTAGGTCACACTCTAGTTAAAAATAGATCACACTACAGGGTGTTGCTAAAATATACCTGACTCTAATTTGTTTATTATTTTAGAGGGTACTTTTTTCATCTGTACATACCGGTATTCTATTTAAAAACAAATTACCAACATAGAATTTGTAACATAAAACCTAGCTATGTTTTACTTCACTTACTGGTTGATATGTTACGAATTTGACATTCTCCACTATTGTTATGCATAAGTAAAACAAGATGTTTCTTGTTATATGAGTCATTAAAATGATGATTCGATGGATGATTGAATGAATGAGATGTATTGACATTTATTCTTGCTTACCTGTTATTATTTATTAGAGTTATTTGAAATCAATGATGTGCTAGGTGCAAATTGTTCACCAGGTACCGAATTTCCTCCACGTTTTGAGGAATACGGAACGTAAATAAACCATTCACTGGTCTACAAATGCTTTTATATAGTACTAAATATTCTTACCTTTGATAATTGGGGTAATTAATAAATCCATTCACTGATAATTAGAGTAAAAACCTTACAATTACACTCTGCTTTTTCATACTAAGCGGCAAAAGATGTAAAGTACATTCGGAACACCTCGGATGCGTATAATAGTTAAATGTATCCGAAGCTTTCCGGCTATTTGAAGTTATGGCGCCAAATCTCATGCAATATACGTCATAATGGGTGTGAAGGCTTTATATATGAGCTCCCCGGGCTCTGACAGTCAGACGTCTGCTGTCTCACTCACTGTGCGGTCGCCAAATCTGTCAGATAACGATGACCTTACAAGAACAAGGCTCAGAAGAGTTTAGATGGGTAATTATCCGTTCAACATTCAGATTAAGGAGCCCCACAATGTTACGCCGCTAAACATAAAGCTGTAAGTCGTAACAGATATATCAATACTAAATCAAAAATAAAATTTTATCCAATGTTTTAATGATGCTGTTAAGGTCAAGATCTAGTAAATGACTTTAGACTAACTTTTTGGTGCTAGATCCATTATGACGTCATAATCAATTTTAACTTTCTTTTTCCCGTACTTTACAGCTCTAATAGAATTATGTAGAAAATAAAGTATTTTCATGGAATTCATTTTGAAATCATGTGAAAAGTAACCCCGATACCTATGTTCAATTTAATATTATTTTAAAGAAGATGCCAAGAACATACAAATTATCGTTTTCTAAGAGACTGTAAGCAATGTGGATACATTTCCTTCGTTTGATATGGAAAAAACTCCCGTATTCATGTCCGGTTTTCTTAATTTTTCATTGAAAATGACAGTTCAAAATATGATTTTTTGTCTTGTTCATCTACAAATTATGCCCCGAAACATCTTATTTGACCAAGCTAAAGTTATAAAGCATCATTAAAGGAATTTATTTCTCAAAATTGAGAAATCTGTAGGCACCTTTCATTTACTAGATCTTGACCTTAACTCTTAAATAATTTACTAGGAAATGAGTTGATTTCATTTTGAATACTAAATTTCACTTCATTTGAATAAAAACTTTATCATATTTTTCTTAAAACTAAACAACAACTTTATAAAATAAAATTTGTAAAGTAATAAACTAGGAGAAGGTATTTTTTCCTGAATTTTGGGGGTTGGATGGTCTTTTGCGATTTGAAAAAATGTCGATAAAAAATCTCCAGCTTTGAGACCCAAACTCCAGCAGAAAAATTTCAAATCTCCAGTTGTGATTTTTCAGTTCAGTCACATATATGAAAACAAGACCCCCTGCTAGCATTCCTTTGCTTTGTAACCATTGTCACCAAAGAAATATAGTTGTATCCGTGTAACCGCAGAAAATATGACCCCCTGCTAGCCTTCCTTTGCTTTGTAACCATTGTCACCAAAGAAATATAGTTGTAACCTGTGTAACCACTGAAAATAAGACCCCCTGCTAGCCTTCTTTTGCTTTGTAACCATTGTCACCAAAGAAATATAGTTGTAACCCGTGTAACCACAGAAAAGAAGACCCCCTGCTGGCCTTCTTTTGCTTTGTAACCATTAGTACCAAAGAAATATAGTTGTAACCCGTGTAACCACTGAAAATAAGACCCCCTGCTGGCCTTCTTTTGCTTTGTAACCATTGTCACCAAAGAAATATAGTTGTAACCCGTGTAACCACTGAAAATAAGACCCCCTGCTGGCCTTCTTTTGCTTTGTAACCATTGTCACCAAAGAAATATAGTTGTAACCCGTGTAACCACTGAAAATAAGACCCCCTGCTGGACTTCTTTTGCTTTGTAACCATTGTCACCAAAGAAATATAGTTGTAACCCGTGTAACCACTGAAAATAAGACCCCCTGCTGGACTTCTTTTGCTTTGTAACCATTGTCACCAAAGAAATATAGTTGTAACCCGTGTAACCACAGAAAACAAGACCCCCTGCTAGCATTCCTTTGCTTTGTAACCATTGTCACCAAAGAAATATAGTTGTATCCGTGTAACCGCAGAAAATATGACCCCCTGCTAGCCTTCCTTTGCTTTGTAACCATTGTCACCAAAGAAATATAGTTGTAACCCGTGTAACCACTGAAAATAAGACCCCCTGCTGGACTTCTTTTGCTTTGTAACCATTGTCACCAAAGAAATATAGTTGTAACCCGTGTAACCACTGAAAATAAGACCCCCTGCTGGACTTCTTTTGCTTTGTAACCATTGTCACCAAAGAAATATAGTTGTAACCCGTGTAACCACAGAAAACAAGACCCCCTGCTAGCATTCCTTTGCTTTGTAACCATTGTCACCAAAGAAATATAGTTGTATCCGTGTAACCGCAGAAAATATGACCCCCTGCTAGCCTTCCTTTGCTTTGTAACCATTGTCACCAAAGAAATATAGTTGTAACCCGTGTAACCACTGAAAATAAGACCCCCTGCTGGACTTCTTTTGCTTTGTAACCATTGTCACCAAAGAAATATAGTTGTAACCCGTGTAACCACTGAAAATAAGACCCCCTGCTGGACTTCTTTTGCTTTGTAACCATTGTCACCAAAGAAATGTCACCAAAGAAATATAGTTGTAACCCATGTAACCACAGAAAAGAAGACCCCCTGATGGGTTATAAATTAACTGCATCTCATTTTAGGATTTATGTTACCTTCGTAACTGGATTAATAGTCCTGTAACAGGGTTACAAATGAACATACTTGAAAGTCAGGGCTAATTTCTTGCCATATCTACGTAAGTTTTCAAACATGTTCAAACTTGCACATTACACGATTGTATACTAGCTCTTCTGTAACATTTCGGCAGATATTCTTTTTAATTCCTGGTAGCACTAAGTACAATAATCCACATGTGAATTCTGAATACAATGCACATTTACATGCACTAAAAGTATATTTCAATACAGTTTACCATCTTTTAACTCATGTGTTGAAGCCATTTCCGAGCAGTTGCTGGAACACATAGTATGATGACGTAATGCATTATTAGGTAGCTAGAACACAAAATATTTCGAGAACATTTTCTCTTTTTCTCTACAATCTGTTAAGGTCAAGATCTAGTAAATGAGTTTAGTCTGTCTTTTGGTGCTAGATCCATTATGAAGTCATAATTGATTTAATTTTATTTTTTCCCGTATTTTATGGCTATAACAGAATTAAGTAGAAAATGACACATTTTCATGGAATTCAATTTGAAATCATTTCAAAAGGAACCCCGATACCTATATTCAAATTAATATCATTTTAAAGAAGAGGTCAAGAAGATATGAAAAACCGTTTACTGAGAGACTATAGGCAATATTGATACATTTTGTTTGTCTGAGATGGAGAAAACTCCCATTTTTATTCCTGATTTTCTTCATTTTTCATTGAAAAGGGCAGTTTAAAATGTGTTTTTTCGTTCCGTTTATCTAAATATTATGCCCCGATACACCTCAATTTATTTAGCTACAATTGTAATATATTATTAAAGGAATTTGTTTTTCAAATTTGAGAAATCTGTAGGCACTCTTCATTTACTAGATCTTGACCTTAAATTGTAAGTTGCAATACCTAAAAAACATATCAAGAAAAGTAAGGTTTTTTTGTTAGTATAAATGCTTTGTCTTGGTCATTTGCATGGTTACTATATATACCTTTATAAGTATTCTCAAACACTTCGAAAAATAAATTTCAAATCCACGGCAATCGTCATTCGTGATCGTGTGGTCCAAAATGAGAGATTGATTTGCAAATCAACACACAACGACTTGCATCGTAGTTCAGACAGTCCAAACAACGACAGAAAAAGTGATCTCTATAATGCAGCTATTAAAACTTTACCAGTCTGGAAAAAAATAATAGGCATTATCGAGGCATTTTTCTTCAGATAGTTATTTTAAAAGCTAACCTGGAACATTCAAAGTCATTTAAAGTGCGCCAAAACTAGTTTTCGATGTCACAAACATTTTTTTTAATGTCAAAACCCCGCATCTTTGTTTTGGGGGTTAAATTTGATGTTAAAGTATGATCAATTTGTAAATATAGAAAAAACGATGTATTGACCCCGTTTACTATACAAAATTAAAGGATTTCTAAGTCTAATTTGATCAAAACAAGATGTCACAAACATTGTGGTTGTGTTCCGATATGAAAAAATAATTTAGAATTACCAATAAAGAAGGCAAAATATTGTATGGTTTGATTTGAACATATTTTTTTTATTTTAGTTAATAATTACAAAGGGATTGGGCACAAGTTCTAAAAATTTATTACGCCCTCTCCCTATACATGTAAATTACAAAAATTAAATTAGGTCACAGTTAAATATGTACATTCAAAATATTCAATATTTGTGAAATATACAAATCAATGCATTTTAAAGAATCATACATATAATTTTGTATATGCATGTATATATAAATAAATATATTTATAATAATACTAATACTAACATGTGAATCTGCCATAATGTTTAATAAAAGTTTGAACAATAGAGAAAAGATGTTCATTCTCCGCAGCACTCAATGAATCTATCCCCCATAATAAAACATGTGCATCTAAAATGTGAATTTTATCAAATAATAAAAATTTATCATGAAATTTCTTTCTGGCTTCTTTATACTTTGGACATATTAAAAATAATGATACGTATATCTTCTTTTTTGCCACATGAGCATAAAGGACTTGAGAGATTAAATTACATCTGTAGATTATTGTATATTGTATATAATAACAAGATAAACAACTCATTTTTACCTATAATTTCTCTCCAATAGAAAAAAATTGCAATTCGAAATTTGAGTGTCCCATTTAATGCAGTGAAAATTTACGATACGATTTTTTCACAGCTATAATGAAATTGTAAATGGCATTAACCGTAACAAGATCGAAAAGCCCCCCCCCCCCCCCATTTTTTCAGGTTTTTGTCTTTGAATTGATTTTTAAAAATATGCATATTTTCCCCTATGTTTCAGATTGAGTGGAATTCGTGTAAAACGGAGGGCTTCTTAATTAAAAGCTTGCCATTTCACTTGTTAGAATTATCCATGTAAACGCAGTTTTAAAATCCAGATATTTGACTAAATTAGACCCAATCCAAAGCCAAGTAGATTATTCTTAACGGGTTATGTTATATGAGTAAAATTGATTATTAGGTTATCAAATTAAAAAAAAATAATAATGATTCACGGGCAAAAGATAATATTTCTGTCAAAAAATTCACAATGTTCGAAAAGTTTCCATTTGTGCATTTAATTGTGAATTTGCGTTACGCGATCTTGGACACAGTTCCTAAACGCTGCGAACTTCAAATATCCTGACTGATATATACTTATGCCCATCATAGATAACTACGGAAGCGTATTAGTGCCACTTGGACACTTTATTTTTTTTTAATTTCCACACTTTAATCTGTAAATTTTACACTTTAATGTGTAAATTTTACACTTTAATCTGTAAATTTTACACTTTAAACTGTAAATTTTACACTTTAATGTGTAAATTTTACACTTTAAACTGTAAAATTTACACTTTAAACTGTAAAATTTACACTTTAATCTGTAAATTTTACACTTTAAACTGTAAAATTTACACTTTAAACTGTAAAATTTGCACTTTAATCTGTGAATTTTAGACTTTAATCTGTAAAATTTACACTTTAAACTGTAAATTTTACACTTTAATCTGTAAAATTTACACTTTAAACTGTAAAATTTACACTTTAATCTGTAAATTTTACACTTTAATCTGTAATATTTACACTTAAATGTGTAAATTTTACACTTTAATGTGTAAATTTTACACATTAATCTGTAAAATTTACACTTTAATCTGTAAATTTTACACTTTTATCTATTGATTTTACTATTTATACTTAATTTTACATTTCACAGAAGCATGGAGCCATTTCTACGGAAACGAGGCGTTGACGAAGACACTTTAAGAGCTCTTAGGGATCAAAAGGTAAGCTATTTGACTTTGTTAATAACAATGTGATGAAATATACTTGAATGGTAGTTAAAATAAGGTGAGTTCAGTAAAAAGCTCTAATGTGAAAAATTATCTGCATTTGATATGTATGTCAGATTTACAATATGTTTGTTAGAAGTACAATATACCGGTTACTGCACTATATGGACTTGTATATTTTTACGCTAGCAACATAAATTCTTGTTAATCTAAAAAAAAATACGTGCAATAAAACTACTACACGTAGTATTAAACTAATTAACATTGATAGATTTTATAAAAGCCACTCTTGTCCCTAAGATTTAAGTCATAAGGAATAATTTTGCCTATAAAATCTTAAAGGTTGACGCCAGAATAACTGCATTTAATATTGCATCACACTTGAGATGATTTCAGTATATTATATAGTTGAAATTAACATGATCCTGAACATAATTATAAACCTACTTTCGTTTTCGATAATGTACGTTGTACTCCGAGATAAGTGGTCGAAATACTTTGTCGGCTCAGTAAATCAGTAAATAGTAAATGATATTTATTAACTCTTTATTTATCATTTATTTATTAAAAATATTTTTTAAATGTTTTCTTTCTTAGATGATTTCGATATAGTGACTTCGTTAAAGATATTACAGCCAAATGTGTAGAGGCTGGTTTTTTAATGTACGTAGCGGGAAATGAACACTGTTTACAAAGTCAATTAATTTTTTCCCGGTTTATGAATATCAGATATATTGTACACACGTCTACATAGTTTTACCCGAGTTATGCATGTAATAGCAGGTATACAATTTTGCTTTGCAAAACTCCAGATGCTGCAGGCGAACATTTTTAAGAGAGAAAGAGAGAGAGAGAGAGAGGAATTATCTCATTCTTTAGATTTTTGCATTAAAAAACAGGCATATAATATAGGGGGGGGGGGGTTAGAATGAAAAGATCCATTATTAGATCCCTGTCCGAGAAAACAAGGCAACAGCTATTTACTTTCACTACAAATTCTGAGAGGTAGTACTTCGGAGTGTTTTCAAAGTACATTTTCTTACGACTATGAAATACAAAATAAGTGAGACGTAAAGAAAATGAAGATTACCTGCTCCATTGACTAATTCTGTGATTTTTGGACCTAAACTTATTGTAAGATTTTGATAAATTTTTTGGATTACAAAATTATGACTTTTTTTAATTGTCAGTACAAACAACTCGGAAAAATATGCTATTGCTTTGTCAATATTTGCATCAATTTTATTACTCACGCTTGCGCGGACTTTAATCTAGAGTACATGTACTGTAAAGCATAATTAAAAGCTCGTATATATGCATGTCCATCCGTTCGTCCTTCTGTCCGTCCGACTATTATTTAAACAATTAAATCCTTTCTTTGGTTGTTAGTACGGGAATTAATGTCGCAGCTGTTGCAGAAAAAATGCATAACCCGCGTAAGCGGGTTTTGTAATTCTTTTCTGCAATAGCTGCGACGTTAATTCCCGCACTAACAACAAAAGAAAGACATTTTATTGTTTATATTTATATCTGTATAAAAATCATTTGAAGTAGGATTAAAAAGATTAACTATTGTATTATTGATCATGTACGTCATAGTACATTTCATTGATGGAACAGTCACTGATCAAGAAATCTGCATGTACAGGTGATATGCCCAGTGCTGTTCATGATCTAATAAACGGCAATGGTTTTCTTCAGAAATAAAGGAGAAAATATTCAGCGGATGTAAATATACCTTATATCTTGCTTAGAAGAACAGCATTTTTAAAATACAAGGTTTACCGAAATTGTTTCCTTTGAACGTCACCTTTGACCAACTTTTCAAAATACATCATAATGCCATATTACACGTATTCGGTGACCTGAACTGATACATGTTTACAAGTATGTGTTGTTTGGCGAGTTCACGGCCTGTTAAATGTTCATATGTTAAAAATATCTGATTCAGCATAACACCCACTTGACCTTAACCCTTGACTTATTTTTCAAGAATTCTTCAAATCTCGGGGATCATATGAATAATCTTGATGTTGCCATCTAATGTCGGCCTGGAATTATACTATGTAAAATCTTTTTAGTTTTATATATATAGAAAATATTGTATGTTGACATCGCTGCAAATAACTAATTGGTGATCCTCGACTGACTCCGCTTCTGGCCATGCTTCATTTAAAAGAGGTCATTGTCGAGTGTACGAGACATCCCAATAGATTCTAGTGGCAAATCAGTATTGTGTGATTTATTTCCAGAAGCTCGTCCCCGACGTCGAACATTTACGGACTCGGGAGACAGTATATCTTCGACCTTAACAGGATCAATTCATACGGTGTAAAAAGGGAGGTTATTAGTCCCCTATAAGTCTTACCAGAGGGACTATAGGTTTCCTTTTCGTCTGTCTGTCCGTCCGTCTGTCACTCCGTCTGTCTGTCAGTCTGTCTCACTTGGTTTTGGGCACTTTTTTTCTAAACGCTTGCAGATATTGCGATGATTTTTGGTATGTGAGTCTACCTTGATGAATTATAGATTAAGCTTGCATTATGATTTTTTGACGGAATTACGGCATTTTCAATTTTTAACGGGAACCAGATTACACTTGCCGGTAGGGGACTAGTATTGCTAATGCAATACTCTCAGAATGCTTGTTTTTAATTAAATGCTCTGAAAAATCCGGATATGTAATTTGAACATAAGCCACTGAAAAGCAAATTGCATAATAAATCAGAAATAAAAATATATTTTACATATGAACACACATAGAAATATTGCATATTTTTATAAATCGTGAAATCTTAATACGTATTCTTATGTATACATTAATAAAGATATAGATTATTATCAATAATTTATCACTTAAAAATCCATACATCAACTCTGACACTCACATCTATAGAGTAACCCGATCTCCCGGTCTGCAATTAGTTTTTTTTTTTTTTTTTTTTTTTTTTGTTAAATAAATTTTATTTAATTATTCATTTTGACTTGAATTTCCATTGATTGTTACTTGTATATTAAATATTATTTACTGCAGTTTTATACTCATAGGGGCTTGTCTTCCGGATTGTTAAATGTAAAATAAATTTAATTTTGAATATACTTCAAATACACTTAAAAATAGTTACAATAAAGATTATGACATTTTCAGTGCCACACCTCTATACATAAATTCTACAAGGGACGAAAGCTCTCATCTTGGAAAAAATACCCCTCACGCACTTCAGCACCTATTTCTGGACTCAAAAGCATTAATTTATTTCGTTGTCATGGTTCTTTCCCCTACAGTGATAATTTTCCTAAATATTGATGTGTCTGTCAGTCATCCACACAAGTTTGTTCAAATCCTGACCACTTGGGATAGGTTAAATAATAGGCGATCAAAGTTTAACCTAGGAATATTTTAAAAATTTCGTCAAGAAGAACAAACTTTAAGCTTAGATTAGTCATATTAATTTGGAAGCATCCTCAGTTAGTGTAGATTAAAACTTGCTCAAATTGTGATCCATGGAAATAAGGGACCATAATAGTTGATTAAAGTTTTACACAGTTATATTCCCTCTTAAACGGCAAAGCATTTATAAGTCATATCGATATGAAGCCATCCTCGGGTAAATTTATTTTAGTTCAGATCAGCCCCCATTCCTCGGGAATAGGTTGAAAGTACCATAGGAGATCAGAGTTTTACAATGAAGTATATCGGAAGAAATCTCTAAATAAGTGGCAATTCATGCACTATTAAGGTATTCCATCCCTAATAGCAACAGATTCAATGAAATTGAATACATATCAGATGTGTACATGTAGGTGTTGAATACTCAGTATATTTAGACGTAATTCCAATTAATTTTATTACTATAAGCATGAAAGAATGGGATGTGTTCTAATATATGACCTTGAATTTTGGTAAGAGTTATACCCTCTATTTTTAATTAATTAAAAAAAAAACAATTTTTAAAAAAACTTCTCTGGTGAAAAAAAAAAAATTCGTTTGTCATTCTTTTTCTAATGTTTTATTACATTTTCCACCTCAGTATTTATTGATATTCTTAATTATTATTTAAATTTTTATTTTTAAAAATCGCTTGTCCTCATTGATTCAGTGCAATTTTTGTTAATTTATTATTGCTTAGTTAATTACATTTTTGAACTTTCTCTCGCTAAATCCTTTTCTACTGTATAATGTATGTTATGGACATTTAAGGATAGAGAATTTGGTCCTATTAGGGACGAAAACCCTTAATCGTGTAAAAAAAATCAAACATTTCTAAGTTGCGGGATTTTTTTTCGTGAATCTTTGGTCAATGGTTGGGCTAAATCAGAGATCCAATTTTTGCAAACTAAGGAAAATGTGGACAGGAAATTAAAATCTTCTGCAGAACAGCAGGATCATTATACTCATATTGATATGGAAGCACATTATTGTACATTTTGTACGTTTTGTACATTCCATTTTGAGTAAATCGTAGTTCCAATAGGTCTAGGTATTGGTCCATAATGAAATCAACATTTCTGTGATAGTTATTATTTCTTTTAAATCTGAAGAATAGTAGGGAAAAAGCGATCATTGAGATTTATGAACATCTTTTAGATTAAACATGATATCCGAGGAGCAAATTCATACACTTATGATAATTATCATATTTTGCAGATAGACGAAGATGCTGTCCGAGGCATGACGGATTCAGATTTATCGGAATACCTCCCGAAGAAAGACTTTCTTACCCTAGCATTCAATAAACCGAAAACAAGAAAATCCAGTCTGATGGACCGATTAAGAGATCGACTACGAAGTAGCAGGGCCAACTCTGCAGAAACACGTACTGATGATCCAGAATCCACCGTAAAGAAAATTCCCAAGTTAAGCGCTAAGAAAGAAGTACATAAAGTTCATCTTGGGTGGTACCACTTCGATAAAAAGAAGAAGGTTTATCTGCATGTAAGAGCAAAGGCAGGGGGAGGAAAAAGAACATTGATGTTAAACAAAAACATGAACAAAGAATCCATTATAAAAGAATGCTTGGATCTTTTTTTCCCCAATGGGAAAAGTCAGCATGGAGAACTGAAGAACATGGAAATTGAATTAACAGATTTCCAGCTAAAACCTTTAGAGGATGAAGAAACAACCTTGGGTGATATAATAGACAAGGCTAAACTACAATTTATTCACTTTTACTTACGCACCAGACTCCAAAAGCAAATTTCAGATGATAGTGATGATGATGAAAAGCAGAAAGAGGAAAAACGTGAACAAAGGTTAAGTACAATAAGCACATTGCCAATATCATGTAATGCTAGCGAAAAGTGTACAGAATCCAAAGATGAACCAAATGAGATCAGTGAAGGAGCTAAAAAGAATGAAGAAGACCCAAAGTCTAGTATTTCTACCCCTTCGACAATTCCATGTAAAGATAGTCAACAAACTACAGAATCAAATGACAAGCAGGTGGGGAGTATTGTTGGAGACGAAGGTGGTGTCCACATGAAACTACGTTCTTCTAATCCCAGTTCAGCAGATGAGAATGGCAGCTCACCATTACCTGACCCTCTTTTCTTTCCAGTTTGGGAAGACAGTTTGGAGGAAGTGGCCTTCACACACGCTGAGCCAATATTACAAACTGTTCGTGAGCCTAAAGAATTTGGAATTATTGTCCACAGGGGTCAAGTTCTGCGAGAACTTATCAAGATGTTCAAAGACAACCCAGATGTTGACTTTACAAAAGACATCATAACTGCCACCATTATTCTTCCAAATGGGGAAAGAGAACAGGCTTATGACAGTGGGGGTGTCATGAGGGATATGCTGACTGAATTCTGGGACGACTTCTATGAACAGTGCACCACTGGCACAAATTTGAAAGTCCCATGTCTACGCCACGATATGGAGGCGGCAGATTGGAAAGCTGTCGGAAGAGTTATAGCATTAGGATGGATTCTTCAGAAGGTGCTACCCATTCGACTGGCTCCAAATTTTCTAAAGTCGTCGTTGTATGGAATTGCTAGTGACAGACTTAGGGAAGAATTTCTTCAATTCATTCCCAGCAGTGAAAGTATGGTTCTTTCCAGTGCACTTGAAGGCATGGAAAATGTCGAAATGGACGAACTTCTTGAGATCCTTTCAACTCATGATTGCAAAGTTAAAGTAACGAAAGATAATTTGGGAGCAGTTATTGATCAAATAGCGCATTTGGAAATGGTTCAAGAACCAGCATTTATCAGAGAATGTCTTTTTGAGGTGCTTATAACATACGAACTAGTTATGGATGTTGAAAAGGAGTTTCAGAAAATCACACCTACATCAAAGAAATTAATTTCGTCCCTTGAATGCGAAGAATTAGAATCTGATTCCTTCAAGTATCTCAAACGATACATCCGTGAAATTGACACGGATACAAGGATGCTGCGCACCTTGCTTCGATTCTTAACAGCTAGTGACCTCATGCTGTATGATTCGGAGGGAATTTTTTTCAAAATTCAAGTCAAAATAGTTGACCTAGAGGGCATTGCAAGGAGACCTATTGCGCATACTTGTGGGAGAGTTTTAGACCTTCCGAGAATATACGAGAGCTACACAGTTTTCAAGGCTGAAATGAATGCAATACTTAATTCCAACATTTGGGTTATGGATTTTGCATAAATTTGAATTTCGACATACATTTGAACGAAAGAGTAGATCTTTGTTTACTTTGTTTACATGTAATACAAAGAACAATTATGATTTTGCTTAGAAAAGGCAAATACTGTATTTCACACTGATTAAGTTAAATCAGCCACTTTATGGAAGTACTAATATGAGAAAATCATAAGTACATTTTATCATTTTTAGCATATAAAAAAATCTTTTTTAGTTCGTTGCAAATCTGGATTTCATTTTTCTTTGTTTCATGGAGGATTTTAGACTTTCCAAGAATGTTCGAAAGTGACACAGTTTTCAAGATTGAAATGAATGCCATGGTACTTCATTCTGACATTTTGGTTATTGATTTTGCATAAATTTAAATTTCCACATATAACTGAACGAAAGAGTAGTCGTAGATCTTTGTTTTCATGTAACATGAAGAACATGTTATCCCTTAGGAAAGGCAAAAACTATTTTCTGGCTGGTGAAATTAAGTCAATCCATTTTTGATGTACGATTTGAGAAAATCATGAGTACATTTTGTCATTTTTAGTTTATAAAAATTCTGCTTTTAAAGTTCGTTGCAAATCTAAGGATTTTTTTAAATTTTGTTTCATGTTTGCTTACATTTTATCATTTCAATTTTAGTTTATTCAGAAAATGTTTATTCATACCATGCTTATACTAGAAAGTTTGGCTTTTCAAGAATAAAAAGGACTATCTAATTAATGTGCCCATTGCTTGCTTCATGCTTAAAATTTAAAAATGTTATGGTTCAATACCTATACCTTTTGGGCATGAAGTTAAATTAATGAACAATTTCTATGACAATCTATGACAACACATGAAAGTAGAAATACTTTAACATTTACTATTAATTGGTAATTTGCCGGAAAAAACAATATTTCTATATAGAGTCAAATGTTTGAGCGCCAAATGAAGTTGTATTCAGTTGATGCGCACAACAAACCAAAAATATTTTATATATATTTATTGCGCACAATAACGGAATCTGGTTGTTGCCAGGTAGAAAAAACTATTTATCTGGCGGCCGCCATAAAATTCTTTTCTACCTGGCACCTACCAGCTTCCTTACACAATAACTGAAATGATGGTTATAAATTTAATTTGAGAAAGCAAATTAATCAAGCAGTCTGTGAAGTGAATCAAAGATAAATTATTATTTGTTTCAATTGTATGCGCTCATGAATTTATTTAAGGAAGCTCTAAACACTAACAAAAGGGTGCTTTTTGGACTTGGAGAAAAATATATTTACAGGTGAGCATATTGAGACTATTTAATTCATTTTTAACATAGGGTACCTGACAATGGACTATTCGTGAGCAGAAATCACTGTTGTTTACTTACACTGGGAAAATTAATGGAAATAATGAATTCAATTACTTATTCTTGGTCTAATATAATACTAAGAATATTTTAATCTATTGCAAATTGTTTAATTAACTGTAAATAACCATTTTTTTCTATCTTACTTCTTACGTCAGATCACTCTAACTGCAATAAACTAACCCTATAAATAGAACTCTTTTGTGTACAGTGTTTAGAGATTCCTTAATACGGACACAAGGATTCTACGGAAGCCGGTAATAAGAATATATTTTTGGCGTCCGTTAGATAAGTGTTCAGTGCCTGCCAATGCAATATCTGGCCGCCAGATAAAATTTGGGTTAACCATACACGTACGCTTGATTAAGTGCTACACATACATACTTTCGGTTTTATTCCTACACTGTAACGTAAGCAAATTACATGTAGTTAGGTCTGAAATTATCATTAATGTCTGACTAAGAACATGATTCTTATTCTTTGACCAATATTAATAAATAAAAAAACATTGAATTTTCCCTTTGAATTTTACATAACTTGCATTTTTAACTTGACAGAGAGTTATTGTTGGTGTTGTTGTAGTTTTCTTGCTTTAGTGTATCTGCTTGAAGTCAAATCTGGGAATTTCATGCCTTATTACGCAAGGGCCATATCTACACATTATACAAAAAGCTTCTTTTAATAACGTTATGGTACACTTTAAATTTATACTTCATTAGATTATGTGTCTATATTGCAAGAATCATATTTGGTGGTTGCTTGTAAATTATTTGGCGGCTGCCAGTAAATTATTTGGCGGCCGCCTGAAAATCCTATGGCGGCCGCCAGAAAGGCATCTACTCGCCACCAGATAATTATTTGGCGGTCGACAGATAATCATGTGGAGGCCGCCATGCAGATATTTATTTGGCGGCCGGCTGATAAAATATTTTTTTCTACCTGGCACCTACCGACTTTCGTAGGATTCAATTATTGAGAGCATGCTTCCACATTAATGTTGAAAAATGATATTTGAATAAATGATATTTTCATATTCACTTTTGATATACTACATATAGTATTTATGCCGCCCCGAACGAAGTTACTGGACATATTGTTATAGTTTCACCTAAAGTTACAGTTTGTTATAGTTTCACCTAAAATTTTGTCTTGGGGAATTCTCACAGATGGCTAAATTAATCGTAAAGAAGAGAAGCAGTGTTGGTTATCAAAGATATAGCTGAGCAAGCAACCTTTAATACTTCAAAATTTCAGTGGTGCCGTGGAGACATAATAAAAATGAAAAATTTAAATTTCATTCTTTATTGCAAACTGAAATGCCATTTTTTTAAAATATTTATTATCAAATTTACCAAATATCTGATTTAATAATAGATTTTAAAACAGGTTAATCATAATAACCGTATTTATGTTACAAATCATTAGTAAAAGCTGTTTATCCAATATACAGCAATATACAGCTGCATCCAATAAACGACATGTATCTAGGCTATAAAAGAAAAAAGAGAATTTATATTATTTATCAAATATACATATTGTATACAAGCACAGCGTTACAATTGCAGTCATAAATTGCTTCTGATATCCTCTCTGAGAAAAATAAACAAATTTTGCATGCTTTCTGGGTCTTGGGGCAATGCAAAATTGTTTTCTTCCATTATACACACACACAAATCTTTAATTAATGTAGAGCATGGCATTTCTGGCATTGGCTGTAATTCACTTTCACAAATATTTACTTCATTTTCGTTTATTTCAATACCATAATCCACGGTATCAAATGCGCTCGGCATATGATGTAGAAGAAATGGTCTACCACATCTGCTTATTCCTTGTCTGTATTGCCTAATCCTGTGACGGTTCCAGATAGAACTTATGTCGTCTAAAGTGTCCTACAATAAAATAACCCTACATGTACTTTTCTCAACTGGATTTTTTTGCTTATTTTTTAATAAACGAGTCCAATACTGAGAACAAGACTAAAGTCAAAATTTGAAATTTAATTTTTGAGTTTATTGGGGAAAAAAAACAAAAGTATAACTGGTATCATGTGCAGATCGCTACGCGATCATATTGTATCGCTATAAATGCTGTGGATCATCAGAATTTTTTAAGACCAGCTGCAGCTAATCCTATAACGCCTGAAGGGGACTTGGTCACATACCAACTTCAAGTCGTATATTCCAACGGACTCTCAAAAATTTTTGTTATTTCTTATCTATAAAAAATGCACTACAGTGTATTTAGATTCCCATATGGAAATGCAACACGACATACAAGTACGACATCATGTGACTTTCTAGACCTTCGATGTGTCTCGTGCCGTTTGCCATTCGCAAAAGTCACATGACCAACTTCATTTCAAAGAAAATTAAATGCTATTTTGTCAGTGTTGTCATATAAAGAAAGACAGTTGCAAATGTAGGTAGATATATTATCTTGAAACTTTTTATATATTTGTTAATTAACCATTAAAATGTTCAAAATAAACATTTTGAAATGTCTTTTCTCAGTCATGGTCTTGAGACCTAGTTATAAGCTAGCGCACCGCACACAGTTTCAAATACATTCTAATTTTCAATGTAGTGAAATTTTCTGTAGTTTTGAAAGGAAGTGAATGGGCATTTTACCTGTACTAGTTGTAGAAAACAAAAGCGAGATATTTCTTGGTCTAAATATTCTCCGTCATGGAAACCACTTTCAGTAAGCTCTTGAAAAAAATTCATCCAGAACTGAATTCCCTGTCGTCGTATCATTCCCCATAAACTCTCAATTCTTTGGTTATTTATGCTTTTACCGTACAAAAAACTTCTTTCTCCAGCATGTTCATCTTCGTGGTTTCGTCGGAGAAACTTATGAATTGTTTCAATGTGAACGTTCTCGGTTCCCATATCAGCTCTTACACGTCTTTGGCATACCCCATATTTCCTGATACTCTCTATGTAATAGTGAGCAATGATATTTGGATTTTTATTAGACCCACCAGCTTTCAACCAAATAATTTGACGTGAAAATCCATCAATACAACCATGGATTTTTATTCCATACCTTTAAAGTTTATCGTATCCGTCGATATGCCAGACTGAGTTTGGACCTTTAACAGAGTATACCCGTCTTCTGAGTCTTCTCTTTTTTCTGTACTCAACACCTTCTGGATCTATAATATGCAACAACCCGAGGACTGTGTCTTGGTCAACAACAAATCCCCTATCAAGACACTTTAAGTGCAACCAACGATATCCGTGCATTTGGCCATGCATTTCACATTGTTCAAGTATAAATAACGCTATCTGAAGAATATCACTCTTATATTTCCGTCGGTAAAGTCCCAAATTCTTTGTTATTCTTTTGAGTGTACGAATTCCTATGTTATATCCATGTAATTCATCCAAACATTTAATTATTTCACTGTACATGTATTTAAGGCCCAGTTTGAAATACTCTCCAATTAAATATTCCCGGTCCATACCTTCACAACAGATTATTTATATGAAGATGAAGTTGTAAAAAAATAACACTCTATTTAAAGTGTAAAATTTACAGATTAAAGTGTAAATTTTACAGATTAAAGTGTAAAATTTGCACATTAAAGTATAAATTTTACAGATTAAAGTGTACATTTTACAGTTTAAAGTGTAAAATTTACACATTAAAGTGTAAAATTTACACATTAAAGTGTAAATTTTACAGATTAAAGTGTAAAATTTACAGATTAAAGTGTAAATTTTGCAGATTAAAGTGTAAATTTACACATTAAAGTGTACATTTTACAGATTAAAGTGTAAAATTTACAGATTTAAGTGTAAAATTTACAGATTAAAGTGTAAAATTTACACATTAAAGTATAAAATTTACACATTAAAGTGTAAAATTTACAGATTAAAGTGTAAAATTTGCAGATTAAAGTGTAAATTTTACAGATTAAAGTGTAAAATTTACAGATTAAAGTGTAAAATTTACAGATTAAAGTGTAAATTTTACAGATTAAAGTGTAAATTTTACAGATTAAAGTGTGGAAATTAAAAAAAAATAAAGTGTCCAAGTGGCACTAATACGCTTCCGTAGATAACACATAGACAATGCCTTTAACTGTAGGAATTAGTTTCGTATTCTAATTAAAAGCCAAGTCCGTGAACTACGTTACAGTTAAATTACGTTACGACCAATTTACCTTATGCTGTAAAAGAATCTTAACTAGAAGCAAAATTACCATGAATCTTTATTCATTGGACATCATCGCTTATCATACGGGAACTAGTAGAAAGGAAGTTTACAGGCGGGAAGGATTTTGACTAGTGTAGTGGTGTTACCAATCATTTTGAAAATGAAATTTTATTTTTGAATGAATAAATTTATTTCATCGTTAATAATTTGATTGGAATTTTATTTTCAAAATGAAGGATATATGTTATACTTAAATATCATAAATATAAAACATTGATTCGCTCGGTGTTTACATCAGGCATAGGTCTGTATAATAGTGTAACGTAATTCATAGCAGTGTAACGTAATTCACACATTACATAAATGCTGTTTTTATCTTAGATAATGACTATAATGAGTAATGCTGAGCCACAAAAGAAATATCGGTGATGGGAAAAGGTCAAAGAAGGAGATAACTACCTTCAAAAAGAGGTCAAACGTCTGAAAAAAGTATATATATGCCCACTTCAGAATGAATCGAAAAATTACCTACGTCTCAATAAAGAAATAAACAGATCTTTTAAATAGTAAAAGGGTCTAGAATAGGTCCAAAATTTGTTTAAAGAACCGTAGAACTCAATTAAATAATAAATTTCTCCTTCCTTTAAATGTTTATTTCCATATTGACACTTCTAATTTCGTACGTGAATTACATTACATTGTTTGCTTTATAATACAGACTTATTTTAAAATAGAATTTAATACTTAATCCCACCAAACGACATTTGATGCGTGAAATATGACTTTATTTGATGTTTTACAATCATACCAATCTCTCTCTCTCTCTCTCTCTCTCTCTCTCTCTCTCTCTCTCTGTGTGTGTGTGTGTGTGTGTGTGTGTGTGTGTATGTGTTATCATTTGCAAAGATATTGCAATATTTATTTTCATTTTCTGTATTCCAATTTGTAAAAATGCTGTTGTTTAACCAATAAAATCATTAGTTTGCATTTTATGAATGAATGTGATTTACGTTACAAAGAAGACAGTTTATCTCAGAATAAACGTTTGCTTTGAATTCCAAAGTGCAAAAACCTGAGAGTCTCTTTATAAAAGGTATATGAATGCAAATACATGCAAACTTTGTTAATTTAAGTATGCGAGTCTAATCAAAATGAAATGTCTTTCTCTCAAAAGCCATTTTCTTCTTTTTTCGTAGATTAACTACCGCACGTGTATATATGGACTGTTTTTAATACACACATGAACTGTAAATTTTAAATTGCACAATGGTTTTAATTGGATAGTTATTTTTCTCTATCAAATACTACTACTTGAAACACCATTTTGAATGCTACAATAATTTATTTAAAATTTTTAAAAGCATCTTAATAAATAACGTAATTCACTGCTAAAATTACATTAAATTTGTTCCATATGTAAAATATAATATAAGAAGGAATATAATTCCTTCATTCCTTCTTTCAAGAGCTACCGTATGTGTTTTCTGTTCATTCGAATATTGTTCTACCAAAATCAAAACATTTCCTTTGTTTTCCGTGTTGAAAATTGTCAGCCTTCTTTTAAAACTGTTTGGGGCACTTTAACTGACTTCTGATGTGTAACATTTAAATGGATAAGTGAAGTATCAATCAGATTTAAAGATTGAAGTGAGATATAATATGTACAGGTAAAAGATATGTGAGTTATAATCAGGTTTAGAGATTTAAATGAGAGGAAATGGATAGAGAACTCTGAAGGTGAGAATATAGGAGGTAATACAGATAAGAGATTGGGAAATGAGATGTGAGCCTGTACAGAGATGTGAGTTAGAGAAGTGAGATGTGAGTGGTGATCTAAGTCTGTATAGAGATGTGAAGTGAGATATAATTGGTGATATAAGATTGTATAAAGAAGTGAGATGTGAGTGTTGATGTAAGCCTGTACAGCGAAGTGAAATAGAGATGTGAGTGGTGATGCAAGTCTGTACAGAGATGTGAAATAGAGAAGTGAGATGTGAGTGGTGATGTGAACCTGTACAGAGATGTGAGATAGAGAAGTGAGATGTGAGTGGTGATGCAAGTCTGTACAGAGATGTGAGATAGAGAAGTGAGATATGTCAGTGGTAAGCTTTTACAGAGATGTGACATAAAGTATTATAATGGAGTTGTATATAAAACTGATAGAATTATATCAGACTATTGGTGCTTAGTATTTCGGAAAAATCCAACTGCTTAAATGTTTCTGGGAAATTAAGGCTGTTTTTATAGCCTTTTAGCTCTTCTGAGCCAAGGGCTCAAAAAGCTAATACTATGGCCATTTGTGGGATGTGTGTCAACTTTTTGGAATAAGGGCTATATCTCAAGAATCCCTCGGCGAATTTTGTCAATTTTGTCACAGAGTATCCTAGTTTAAGGGCTCTCATTTGGGATGTGACTCTTAAACAAGGGGAGATAATTAGGGATAATTATGGAAATAAAAACAAAAGTAGTGTTTGCTAAAGAATCTTAAGAAGCACTGTGCAGATTTTCACCATAAAGAGAGGATATGTTGTTGCATCTTAGGACCTCATGTCATGTTGACTCAAACCTTTGAAGCCTATGATAATCAAAACTTGTCAGTTTGTGCATCATGGGGCCTTGTGTGTCAGCCAAAAAGTAGGTCACCATGACCAACTTTCTGAATTTTATGGCTAATAATTTTCAAAACATTTAAGGTATTATTTTGGATACTGAGAGGTTTAGAATCACCAAGTTGTTGCATCTTAGGGGCTTGAAAGATTATTTATCAAAATGTAGGTCACAGTGACGTACTTTTTGAATTTTGCAGGTATTCATTATCAATTGTTTTAGAGGTATAATTTGGACACTATGAAGCCTAAGATCATCAAACCTTGTCAGATGATACACCCTAAGGCCCTGGAGTAATTCAAAGTGTAGGTCACAGTGACCTACGTCTGAAATTTCATGTCTTTTATTTACATATTTCAGATACTAATTGGCTTAGAATAATCAAACTTTCTAGGTTGATGTATCTCGAGTCCCTGGAGTGTGTATACCAAAAGGAAGGTCAGAGTGACTTAATTTTGGAATTTCATGGCTATATTTAAAAAAAAAATCGGATTCTAATTGGTTCAGAATCATCAAACTTCTTCATTAAAATCATCAAAATTCCGGTCCCCGGAATGTGTCGTCACATTGACCTACTTTTGGAATTTTAAGGCAAAACATAATTTTTTTCAAATATGAGACTTAGAATCATCATACTTAGTCAGTTGATGCGTTTTGAGTCCTCAGAGTGTGTCAACCAAAAAGTAGGTCACAGTGACCTAATTTTGGAATTTCATAGCTATATTTAAATCTCTCAGGTGTAAATTGGCATTGAATCATCAAACTTTGACCAGTTGATGCATCTTGGGTCCTCTGAATGTGTCAACTAGAAAGTAAATCACAATGAACTACTTTCGGAATTTTAACGTAATACCTAAATAGATAATTAGAGGGTTAGAATTATTAAATTTAGTCAGTTGATGCATCTTGGGATCTCAGAGTATGTTAACCAAAAAGTAGGTCACTGTGACCTAATTTTGGAACTTCACAGCTATATCTAAATATTTCAGATAACAAAGAGTTTAGAATAAAACTTTTTTGCATTAAATCATCTTTGGTCCTTCGAGTATTTAAACCC